CAGGTACCTGCCTTGCACACAGGATCCTTGGTGGCAGTGGCAGCAGCCTCTGGGGTCCGAGATAACAGCCACAGCTCACGCTTGCGCCCATGTAGGCATTGCCCTACCATCTGTGAGCACACAGAGAGAGAAGCTCTTCTGACAGGGCTGCCCCTCTTCTCACACACCCCAAAACAAAGGTCTCCTGCCTCTCTGGCAGGCCTAGGTTTCTTCCCACACTCCCTCCCAGCTAGCTGTGGTACACTAGCCCCCCAAGGCTGTCCTCACGCAGCCAACCCCAGTCCTCTCCCAGGGGTCTGACCTCCGAAGCCCAAGCCTCAGCACCCAGCTCCCACCTTCCCCTGCAAGTGAGCTGACAAGTGTCTCAGGCTGGTGAGTGCTGGTCAGCACTGATCTTCCCTCGGCACTCCACACCTCTGTTGCTGCCCTCTCCTCAGAGGCTCTGAAGCTCCCCCGTCCCGTCCCCACCAGTGAGGGGGCTTCCTAGTGTGTGGAAACTTTTCATCCTTCACAGCTCCCTTCCAGAGGGGCAGGTCCTGTCCCAATTTCATTGTCTCTTTTTTTCTTTTTTCTTTTGCCCTACCCAGTTATCTGGGGATTTTCTCACCTTTTTGGAAGTCTAAGGTCCCCTACCAGGATTCAGTAGTTGTTCTGTAGGCACTCTTCCACATGTAGATGTATTTTTGATGTATTTGTGGGGAGGAAGGTGATCTCCACGTCTTACTCCTCCGCCATCTTGCAGGTCTCTCCCCTAAGTTTCCCTTTTATTCCTTCTTTGACCTGTTCATTATTTAGGAATGTGTAATTCAATTTTCACATATTAATGAATTTCCAAAATATCCTGCTGTTGATTTATAATATAGTACCATTGTGGTCAGAGAACATACTTTGTATGATTTCAGCCCTTTTAAATTTATTGAGGATTGTTTTATGACCTAACATGGGATCTGCCCTAGAAAATGTTCCATGTGTACTTGAAAAGTATATGTATTCTGTTCTTGTTGTGTGGCGTATTCAATAGATGTCTATTAGGTATAATCGCTTCATAGTTTTGTTGAAGTATTCCATTTTTTTCTTGATATTCTGATTTGTATCCATTTTTGAAAGTGTGGCGTCGAAGTTTCTGATTGTTGAATTGTTGTTTCTCCAATTCTATCAGTTTTTGTTTTGTGTATTTTGGTGCTCTGGTACAAGATGCATATTTGTTTATAGTCATTATGTCTTTCTGATAGATTAACACTCTTTTATCATTATAAAATGTCTTTCTTTGTCTCTAGTGACAATTTCTCCTTTAAAGATTATACTGTCTGACGTTAGTGCAGCCACTCCAACTATCTTTAATTAGTGCTTACAAAGTATCTCTCTTTTCTTCCTTTTGCTTTCAACCTATTTGGTCTTTGAGTTTAGTGTGTGTCTTGTAGACAGCATACAGTTGACCCATATTTTCCTCCATTCTTCCAAATGTAAATGGAGTGTTCAATCCATTCACATTTAATGCAGTGACTTATAACTAATAAAGTAGGATTTATTGATACATCATCCATTTTGCAATGTGATTTTTATGTCTTGTGTCTTTTTATTTCCTCTACAATTATTGCTTTGTTTTGGGTTAAATACTTTCTAGTATACCATTTAAATGCCCATGTCATTTCTTTGACTATATCTTTTGAATTATTTTCTTAATGTTTATAGTAAGGATTACAATTACCATCTTAATTTGTGACAATCTGGTTCAAACTAAAACTAACTTAATTTCAATAGTATTCAAAAATTTACTCCAGTATATTTCTTTCTACCCCTCCTTTATGCCATTACTGTCATATAAATTACATCGTTATATATTATAAAACCTGTAATTCAATTTTATAATTCTTGCTTTATGTTATTGTCTCTTAAAATAGATGAAGAAGAAATAGATTACAAACAAATACATATTTATTCTCATATATTTTCCTGTGAAGTTACATTTACCAGTGTTCTTTATTTCTTCATGTGGATTCAAATTACCGTCTAGTGTCCTTCTCAGACTGAAGGAATCCCTTTAGCAATTCTTGCAGGATAGATCTGCTAATGACAAATTCCCTCAGAGTTTATCTGGGAATGTCTTCATTTCTCCTCCATTGTAAGGAAGAGTTGAGTATAGAATTCTTGGTTAACAGTCTTTTTCTTTCAACACTTTGAGATGTCATTCCACTGCTTCCATGGTTTCTGATGAGAAATCAGCTTTAATCTTATTAAAGATCCTTTGTACATAATGTCATTTTTCTCTTACTATTGATATTTTCAAGATTTTCTTTTTGTCTTTGACTTTCATCAGTTTGACTGTGACATGTCTAAGTGTGGCTCTCTGTGAATAAGTTCTACTTGGAGTTTGTTGAGCTTCATGGATGTATGGGTTAATATTTTACATAATATTGGGGAAGTTTTTGGCAATTATTTCTTCAGTATTTTTTCTGCTCCTTTCTCTTTCTCCTTTTCCTGTGGAACTCACATTATGTGAATGTAGGTATGTTTGATGGTGTCCCACAGGCATCTGAGGCTTTGTTCATTTTATCTTGTTCTTTTTTCTTCTCCTGAAGCTGAATAATCTCTATTGGTCTATCTTTAGGTTCACTGATTATTTCTTCTGCTAGCTCATATCTGTGGTTGAGCCCCTATGGTGAATTGTTCATGTAATTTTTGTACTTTTTAACTCCAGAACTTCAATTTTTTTCTATTTTTATTTCTCTTTATTGGTACTATTTGATGAAACATCATTTTCACACTTTCCTTTAATTCTCTAGACATCATTCCATTAATTTTTTAAACATATTTACAATAGCTAATTTAAAGTCTGTGTCTACTAAGTCCCAAATCTGGGCTTTCTCAGGAGCATTTTCTCTTGGCTGCTTTTTTGCTTCCTGTTAGTGGCATACTTTCCTGTTTCTTTACATGTCTCATGACTTTTTGTAGAAAACTATACAGTTAAATAATGTATCATAATAACTCTAGGGTCAGATAGGTATTTATTTTGTTGCTAGGTTTTTGTAATTGTTTTTCTTGTTGCTACTTACTTGCTTACTGACTTTTCTGAACTAATTCTGTAGATTCTGTATTGCTTCCAGTGTATGGACGCTTAAGTCCTCTGGTGGCATTTTTTTTAAAGTTCTTTTATTATTTATTTTAGGAGTCATCCTGTGTCAGTACAATTTAGTGGTCAGCCAATGACTGGTTAGAAAAGTTTCTTAAATGCCTTGTCTGTATGTCTTCCACCCTTTTAATCCCTTCCCACTAGAGGATCTATGTGAGAAGGCATGCCTTCAAACTTGTTGCAGTTTATAAGACAGCCTTAGCTTTTACTTCCTGTTTGTGCAGGGTTTCAAGGTCAGCCACTAGTGAGTTATTGGGAGCTTCTCTTTTCCCAGATCTTTCTTGGGTCACCTTTGACACCCTAAGAATATGTCAGAGCTTTTCAAAGTTTCAAAATCTAGTTCTCCAAGATTTCCTTTAAATTCCTAGTCAGGTTCTCGTTTACCCACCTGAAATCATAGCCTTAGGTAGCTGCCATATTGCCACCCATTTACTATTGTTTTGATAGTACTCTGGGGATAGGTGTTTTTTTTTTTCCTCCCGTGAGCTGAGCTCTGAGTCCAATCAAATACCCACGGCACTCTGGGAATAGAGATTTTTCCAGGAAGCTGCTTGTTCGGACAAAATACTGACTGTGCTCTGGGGATGATGCCTTTAATGTAGCTCTAAAAGAGTTCTGTCCTTTCTGTTGGCTATCAGGCTGCCAATTTTTTGCAGCTCTGGTGCCACTAAGCTGGGGAGAAAGGCGGGTGGGAATAGCCTCAAGCTAAAATGTTAGAGACACCACTGTCTTACCGAGGTTCAGTAGTTTCTCTTAGACAATTTTCAGGTTTTTTTCTGTGGCTTTGGTTAATTTTCCGAGTTTTGAAATGGTTGGTTTTAGTTGTTTTGCCAGTATTTGTATTGTTTTTGTGGGACAGTTTGTGAAGGTTCTTGTCCTACCATTCCGGAAGTCTGTCTCCTCTAGGATTCTGTATAAGTTACAGAATAATGGCAAAGCAAAGAAACAAAAAAGGAGCCTCTGAAAGAGAAATGTTACCCTTTTTCTTCCAGCTTTGTCTTGTTCTGTATCCCTGTCTTGTATTCTGTACTGTCTTCCAACCTCCCTATGGCGTTCTCTCTGTGATGGTTTAGTGTAGTGAGGAGAGTCTTGGCTTCGGAACTTGAGCACACCGGGATTCCATTTCTAGCTCTGCAACAGTAAGCAAGATACTGACTTTCCTTCGGTCTCAATTTCCTCATATAAATTGGTGATACTCATAGAATCACAATAAAGATTAAATGAGAAAACTTTTAACGAGCTTATTCCAGACCTGTACATACTAGGTGCACAATAAATTAGTAATATAATATACAATGTATTATTTATTCGGTTCTCTCGTTTCATCCCTTTTTACTGACCTATCTTAATGAGTTTTGGTGTAAAAATAGTAATCGATGGGTTTAGGAAAGTAACTTATAGAAGAAAGATAATGAAAAGAGAATCATGTCTTTTCTTTGTTGTGTGATCTTAAGCAAATTATTTAGCCACTTTGAGCCTTAGCGTCCTCACCTTTTAAATGAGAATACTAGTATGTGCCTCTGATATGTTAGGGCCTTGCTTTGAGAATCAAATGAGTTCATGACACTGTAGGCTTGTGGAGGCTTTGCACCATGCACTGTCTGCAAACGTACAGTGGTCTCTAGTTTGCGAAGATAAGTGTCTGGTTCTTGGATTAGATTCATGGGATTAAGTTTGCTTTTTTTTTCTTCTCAAAAAACATAAACATAGAATGTAAAATAAGTTGCTTATTATTTGTGGCACCATTTCCCCCCGTCTTTTGAGTTAGATAAGTATTTTGCCATATTTATCCATTATGTGGCAAATGACATTTATTGTTCATAGGCTTTGGATTTAATATTTTCATTTAATTGTTCACTTTGTGATTTAGGCTAAAATAGAAGAAAAGGCCATTTATGAATGCTGTAGCCATCGAAATATGTATGTGAACATAGCAAGAAATACTCTGAAGAAGCTGAGAGACCAAGGTAATGTCTTTTCAATTAAGTGATAAGATAAAAAGTTGTGATTAACACCTGACACTGAATGTGTTTTCTTCATTAACAGGGTTGTTTTTAGATATTCAATGAAATGTATGTTTTAAATGTTCTGTTGAATCGAACGTGCAGGTGACATTTTTTTGTTGAAAGTAACAAGTTAGCCTTGAACTTAGATGTAAATATAACTTCACTGAAGGAGGTTATCAGTGATATATTTAAATTTGATTTCTGGTTATAAAGTAATTCACCTCCATGTGGAATAGTATCAGTACTTCTCAACTTTTTAAAAATCAGTATTGTCCCCCTAATAAACCTATTTTTTCTACCTCCTTCACCCCCAGTAAAATGAAGTACTGAGGGCTAATATTTTATCAGTTAAATTGGGTTTTGTAGAGCCACATACTATTGTAATATCTAAGATTTTTTTCACTCTTCAAGAGCCAATTTTACTACTTTGGGGGCAGTACCACCCCAGCTGAGAATACTTGGCATGAGTTCAAATAATACATGGCATGTGGGATCCTCCCGGACCGGGACACGAACCCGCGTCCCCTGCATCAGCAGGCGGACTCTCAACCACTGCACCACCAGGGAAGCCCCAGAAAAACATCTTTTAAAAAAACAGTCAAAGACAACTATCTTCCAGATCTCTTATATAGACCCTCCTTTACATGACTACAGAGATATATATAATATTCATGAATACAATCATTTTATATACAGTGTGTCTAACTTTTTTTTACTCAGTAAGGTATCATAGAAGTCTTTTGTCAGTTAACCTGGAATCCACGTTCATATCTAGATCTGTATGATACTTTTTAAAGACTGCATGAAATTCTGTTGTATAGAACCTATACTATACATATTCCATTATATGGAATCTATAATGTAGATGAACTAAATGCCTTTGGGTATTTAGATTGCTTACATTTTTTGAGTATAAATTCTGTGATAAATATGTGTGAGGATGTTAACACATTAACATTTACTTAAACCCGAGCATATGTATCTTTAGCATAAATTCCTATACACAGAGAAGCTAGCAGAAAGGGTCTGCATGTTTAAAATTGGTAAATATTGTGGGTTTTTTCAATTTTATTTATTTATTTATTTTTGGCTGCATTGGGTCTTCATTGCTGCGCGAGGGCTTTTCTCTAGTTGCGGCAAGTGGGGGCTACTCTTCGTTGCAGTGCATGGGCTTCTTATCGCGGTGGCTTCTCTTGTTGCAGAGCACAGGCCCTAGGCGCATGGGCTTCAATAGTTGTGGCACGCAGGCTCAGCAGTTGTGGCTCACGGGCTCTAGAGCACAGGCTCAGTAATTATGGCACACGGGCTTAGTTGCTCCGCGGCATGTGGGATCTTCCCGGACCGGGGCACGAACCCGTGTCCCCTGCATTGGCAGGCAGATTCTTAACCACTGCGCCACCAGGGAAGCCCTGGTAAATATTGTTAACTACCCCAGAAAGGGTTTGTCCATTTACATCGCCCACTAATGATGGAGTATGTGGTTTTCCTCACACCCTTGAGCTATCTTGCCTTTGTGAGAGTCATCAGGGTTCCCATTGTCTCCTGCTTGTAAGCTTTTGTACTTATCTGAGTGAGTATTAAGAACTGTTACGCAAGATTTTGAGCCAGAAGGCCTGGGTTTGTGTATCAACTGTGCTGTGTGACTTTGGTCATATGTCCTTACTTTTCTGAGCCTCATCTAACTCATCTGTAAAAATGAAGTCAGTTCACTTGCCATTCTGGCTTAATGTAAAGTTTAAATCAACATGCTTAGAACAGGTTTCGGCCTGCTTAATATGCACCAGCTATTACTGATATAATTTTAACTTTCCCATCTCTCACCCAAAGCTTAGGACATCGCGTGGTCCAGGGAACAATATTGATTTGTTGTGGCTGTTATTGAAGGACACGAAGACTTGGATTCTTTTAGACTACTGTCTTACTTAATGTTAATCAGAATCCTAGCATTTCATAAAAGGGTTAGTAGACTCTAACCCTACCACTACTTAAAAAGGGAAAAAATGCAATTTAAATTTTATTGGACAGCTTTTCTTTTTCTCTTAGTGCTCACAGGAATTATTCTTTACAGACGTCTTAAAGGCTCCCTTCTAACTGAAGCACAGTTCTGTGAAAATAACTACGCCCAACCCAACCCTGACAAACGAGGAAATATTCTTTTAAACCCAGGCATGACAAAAACTCTTGTAAATGATCGTAAGTATATGGGTCCAAAAATTATCCTTTCTACACGCTAAGACTGGAGCCCTAAAAGTCCCAGTGTTCTGGGACTTCCCTGGTGGTCCAGTGGCTAAGACTCTGCGCTTCCAATGCAGGGGGTCCAGGTTTGATCCCTGGTCAGGGAACTAGAGCCCATGTGCCACAACTAAGACCCAGCACAGCCAAATAAATAAATATGAAAAATAAAAGTCCCAGTGTCCTGACATTTTCTAACGGAAACAAGATTTGTGGCCACCCATGGCCACAAATGATGGCTGCATCATTAGGCTACAGGTAAAAACATTGTTGCATCTCATTTTCTTTCCCTTTCCATTTCATTTTATTCCCAGTATCTAAGTGCTTTATTTATGTAATGTTTTATTAAATCTTAGCAGCCATTTCAGGTAAGTACTGTTACCACCTCCATTTATACAAATGAATAAACTAAGGTTCAGAGAGGTCAAATAATTTATCAAAGGTCACTCAGAAAATAAGGGTAGAGCCAGGATTTGAACCCAAGGAGTCTGACGCTGGAGCTTCTGCTTTTACCCCTAGACATATGTAGGCAGTGCTGTGTTCCGTATACTTCATACCCTTTCACTAGGAATTCTTATAAAAAGACTTCCAGTTAGTCTTACTGTTTTGCATTTTCTCCGAATACTGGGCATAGTTAGTTAATATATTTATCCCACTCCCTCTCCCCCCAGAAAAGAGATAGCAAGAGAATATTTAACGTTAACACAACTGTCAAATGTTAGGTCCATCAGAGTTTGAAATGCAGTTATAGAAATATTTTTCATTGGCTAGAAGATATTTAGCTTCAAACTCTTGTATCTTTAGAACTTCTCTCTTGGGATTATTTTCGCCATTTGCTTTACCTTCCTTTAAATCCTCTCATTGGAAGGCAGTACACTTAACAGTTAAGAACCGGGGCTCTGAAGGAGAAAGGCAAATCAGGGTCTGGGTGCTGGGTAAGTCATGAGTCACTCTCCCAGTGTCGGCTTCCCCACTCTGAACAATGAGATGATGGTAGCTGCCCCATCAGTAGCTATGAGAATCCGTTAAAATAGTGCATCTGAAGTGCTTGGTGCAGTGCCTGCCTCGTCATCGCATAACAGACACCCAAATAAAAGAGTTGCTGTCATCATCGTCATCAGAGCCAGTTTGAGGGTCATTAATAAAAACAAGTATTCATAAACGGGTCTAGTGAAAAGCCCAGATACACTCTCAGTGACAATAAACAGATCACTATGTGTCTAAAAGGAAGACATGGGTCCTAATTCAGGAGTTACTATGTACTAGAGTAGATGACAGATCAAGTTGGTGACAGTCAACTTGTGGTGCTAAAACCACGATTACCTGGCGTTGGGCTGACTCTGGAAGCAGGTGGGAGAATGCCTGTTTGAGCAGTGGCAGCCCTGATGCAGGAAGCAGCTCACCTGCACATACTCCTTTGCATAATTCTGTTCCTTTTCCTGTTACTTGGAGATCACACTGAGTCTGTGCTCACGACAGGATCAGGAATGCAAAGGCAAGTCTCTGCATGCAGGTCCTCATTTCCCGCCCCGCATCTATTCATGAATAACTCTACTTCATGTTCTGTTTTAGCTTCTAGGAAGATGTGCTGTCGATGTGGGAAGATCTATGGCGTGACTCCTGCAGGCAAACACAGCAGCGTAGAGGAATGTCACTACCACTTTGGCCGACTGGTGAGTCATAAAGGCAGGTATCTGGTCGTTCCATTTCATTTACTTGACGAGCCGGTGCCAAAGCGGTGGGGAGAAAAGTGGAATAAAGTATTCAGTTCGATGTGTATTTGTTAAATACAGTCCAGTAAAGGGAAACTGTATTGATTCAAAAGTTTCCATTACAAACACTTACTCCCGACCATCACTTCTTAACTTTGGAGCTCGCTGGCTCAAGAAGTGTGGCTGTGATGATTCTTCCGCCTGTTTAAGACCTCAGGTCAATCAGCTACCTCCTGACTTCACCTGCTTTTCACAGGCCAGCGTTAGAATAATTGCTTACGGCTTCAGTCCCTTGGCCCCTGCCCTGCACTGAGTAGGGATGAACAACTGCTTCCTCTCCCCCAGCCCGGCCCCCATTTCTTCTCCAGCACAGTAAATTCCCTACAGTCAACTCAGATGGTTCTTTTCCCTACTCAGACCAAAAAACCTGGGTGCAGTCATCACTGTCTCCCCTCGGTGCACACCCCCCCATTCAAGGCCTTTGTTTTGTTTTTCCCTTTTTCTTTTTTTCTGCCTATGCCAGCGCCCTTAGTTCCTCCACCAAGGATTGAATCCGGGCCATGGCATTGAGGGCACCGAGTCCTAACCACTGGACCGCCAGGGAACTCCCTGGTGCGCCCTTTCATCTCAGCAGTGTCCAAGTCCCATTTGTTCTGTTACCTCCAAAGTGTCTCTTCTCCACCTCTGCTGCCCCCCACCAGGGCCACAAGACCCTCATCTCCTTCCCAAGCTACTGCAGCATCCTCCCAGTCTTAACACTCCCCCGTCCCAAGCTACTTCTCACCCAACAACTCCCAGAATAATTTTTAAATCACAGTTCTGTTTACATCACTCCCCTGCTATAATGAAAATTCTTCAATAACTTTGTCAACCCTGCCGAATTTGGCCTCTGCCCGCTATCTTGTACCCTTTCCACAGTTTCTTTCCTATCACACTGGCCAACTTTCTGGAGCCTTCTAACCTGCTGTCTCCTTTTCACACAGCTGGTTCCTTCTCATCCTTTAGGTCTCTGCTTAAATGTGACCTACTCAAGGTTCTTTCGCGACCCCGTGATCTAAAATAGGTCCTCCCTCTTCTATCACAACCTTTGAGGGCCTTTGACTGTCACTGCCTTTGACAGCACCCAACTGAGTTTTGTAACGATTTAGTGATTTATCTGCCATCTTCAAAAGACTGCAAGCTCTTGGAGGGACCCAATGTTTCCCCAGCACTTAGCATGGTACCTAACGCAAACAGGCTGTCAATATCTGTGTGGATAGATGGGTGAACAGATGAATTATTTATGTAGATATGGAAATGAATATGAAAAAGCTATTATAATAAATGCTATGAAGAAAATAAAGCAGAGCAGAGGAAGTAGAGAGGAACAGTGAATGTGATTGAATTATAGAATAAATATAAGAATAATGGATCAATAGTAAAGTAAATCAGACAAGTTTGACTTAAGTGTTTAGGGCTTAGTTTTAGTGGGTGGGGAGACTGTCAATTCCAAAAGGGAAGAAAAATAGGAAGACACTGAAGGAGAATAAAAGTAGCAGATTAACTACTGTGTGGAATAACTAGACAACACAGCATAATGAACAGAATGGGACTTTGGAGCCGGCGGACCTGAGATTTTGGGCTGTTTCAGCACTTACTTTCTCTGAGATCTTGAGCAGGTTTCGGAAGCTCTCTGAGCTTTCGTTTCCACATTCATAGAATGAGCTTTGTGTGCAGTTTAGTGAGCTGACGTGTCCAATTCCTGGCTTCTAACAGATGCTCTGTTAATACTGGTTCTCAGCCTCCCTTTCTCATCACAGGAGAAGGTAAGATAAAGCCATGAGATGTCAAGATTGGATGGGTAATAGAAGGTTGGTTAAGCAAGAGTCTTCAGTGCCAGCCTGAGAAATATGCATTTGATCAGCAATGTAGAAGTGAAGCATTTGAGGAAAGTGATGTAATGAAAAATGTGCTTGAGGAAGATTAATCTAACCACATTTTATGGGAAAACTGGTGCAAAACCTACTGTAGGCAGAGGGGGTTTTAGGGAACAGTTGGGAGAACATTACCTTGGGCCAGAGGGAGAAAGGGCTTGGGGTAGGCAAGGGTACGGTGAGATGGAAGATGTGAGAGAGAGAAAAGAGAGACGAAGGCTTAGGCTTGTTGCTGTGAAAATGTGCAAAGTGTCTGGCCAAGGCAGTGGAAGAAGAGGGTGTCGGGATTTCAGAGGTCCAGCCAAGGTTGGAGGCAACATCTTTGTTACGGTCTCAGTCTACGTAAGTGGGTGATGTTCCTCAGGTCAGATGCAGGAAGGGAGAGGGCAGTAGCCGGAGCCCATCATCCAGGGGCTTCAGCACAGAGGGAAGGTCAGGGAGGAGAATGTTTTGAAAGGATGGTTGAGGTAGAGTTAAAGCAGGATAAAGAAGTGACATCAGGAGAGGTGCTGAGGGGCCCGGCCACGTTATGGGGAAGCAAAGGGAGGAAGGGGAGAAAGGCATTCAAGACGCCGGTAATTATAATTCACCTTCAAAGTGCAGCCTCTGAGAACTTGGCTTCTAGGAGTCAGTGTTTCCTGTTTGTTACATAATAGCTAGAAAAGCAACCATGCAGAGTTTTAGACTCTACATCAGATAGCTTGCATGGTGCAGTCTTAAAGATCCTTGTGGGTGAGAAGCTCTGGGAGTTAGCCACTCCGCCTTGTCAAGCTTCCTTGTTTTGATTTTTACTTTTCGTGTGGTTTGTAGTTCTTGGTAGCTCAGAAAGGTGGTACAGCTGTTGTGAAGGTGTCCTTGGATCCCCCGGGTGTCAGGTCGCCAAGGTAGGGCTTGTTCCCCAGAATGCCGCTTGTTTCAGAACCAGAGTTGCTGCCTCCTGCGCAGACCTTGGGGGTCCATAAGCATTTGGTATAATCCACTAATTTTCAGTTGATGAAATTTTTATGAGCTTAGTTGCTCTTGCCAAAACATACAGTAACTTATTTGGCAGTGTTTGTTTCAGCTTCACGTTCAGGACCAAAAAGAAAACCTAGAAGGCTTTGTGAAGACTTTTGTCAAGTTCCCACCCCGCAGCGGGAATCATGCTGTATTTGCCATGAATTGTGAGGTGGTACGTTGGTGGTATGTTTTGCCTTATTTATGCATGTGTAAGGAACGTTCCCAGGCTCTCTCTCTGTCCCACACAGTGCTGCGATGTTGTTCACACATTTTCAGATGAAGCAACTGAAGCTGAAAAGAGTTAAGTGACTTGGTGGGATACCTGCACTTGGTGATGGAGCCAGGAGTTGGCCCACGATCCTCTTTCTTTTACTTACTAATTTTTATTTATATATAATCACTGCTTGTCCTACTCATTACGTTGCTGAAATTACATGGGTGGAAAATGTTATGAATACTACTGTTAACCCCCAAATCAGCATAAAAGCTTTAATTTTTAAAAAGCTATTGTTTTTATAGAGACAGTAAAATATTTATAGGGAGTTACCTTCTTCCATATGAGAATCAATACTAAACAGTAGGGGAAAAACAGAACTTGGAATCATGAGACCTCGGAAGCTCCACTGCTTATCAGGCAAGTCTCCCGGATGCTCCAATATGTAAATTATGAGGTTAATAATAACCCGACAGTGATGGTGAGAATCAGATACACTAATATATGGCAAAGTGCTTTGTATGTGTCAAACATCATGTGAACAGTCATCTTTAACAAAACATAAAATTAAATTTTTGTTCCCTGTGGCATATTTGGAAAGCAGATTTGTGGGGTTTAATTTTAATAGATATAGAAGGGAAGTGTTCAGTTTTTAAGCTTAGATTTTTGTTGTTGTTGTTGTTTTGTTTTGTTTTGTTTGTTTTTTTGCTGTACACGGGCCTCTTACTGGCGCCACCAGGTAAGCCCTAAGCTTAGATTTTTAACTGCAGACAATGAAAGCTGTTTCTGGCTTAGAAATCAAATGTTTTTTTTTTCATTCAACAAGGTTTATAACTGCATTGTTCAATATGGCATCCACTAGCAAACAAACGTGTCGGTATAGAGAACAGAGTAGCAGTTACCAGAGGGGAAGCGGGGGAGGGCAAAATGGGTAAAGGGGGTCAACTGTATGGTGATGAATGAAAACAAAATTTTTGGTGGTGCAGCGTGCTATAGTGTTTATAGAAGTCAAAATATAATGTTACACACATGAAACTTATATGATGTTATAAAACAATGTTACCTCAATAAAAAATTAAATTAAAATTTTAGTTCGTCAGTCATACTAGCCATATTTCAAATACTCAATCCCCACTTGTGGCTGGTGGCTACCATATTGGACAGGACAGAAATAGAACATTTCATCTTCACAGAAGGTTCTTTTGGATAGCACTGATCGCTAATGAAAATAATTGTAAAGCCTATGCCAAGAAAATGAAATTATTTTTATTAGCAGAAATATTACCAACATTAAGGAAAAAATTAAAGCTTGGAACATCTTTTATATGACCGTCAGATCCAGACACTGGCTTTTGTTAGCAAAACTGAATGATAGGGTTAGATTGTATATTCCAGTTAGAAATATTCCTTTAAGATATCTAAGATGTTAAAATATGTTTGCCCAATATGATGTTTAAATTTAATATTTCCGTCTTTATAGTGCTATACAGCCAAAGGTTTGGAACTTACTCAAGTGACAGTGGTTGATCCCAGCCTCCAGGTGGGCTATGATACATCTGTGAAACCAGATGAAGAAGTCATTGACTATAACACTAGGTATGCATTATACACAGGGGTTTGTTTTTGAAATTATAGAACATTCAACATGTACTTTGAGTTTTAGCCTAGGTACTTTTATTTGATTCAACTTTAGAGCATGAGTTAACACTGTTTGCTTTTAATTAATTTGTTTATTCAAAACTATTCATGTTCTGTTGAGTACCTTGCTAAAATTATGCAGACACTGTATTAGGCCCTGGGTAAGAACCCGAAATGAGAGATACGGCCTCAGCACTCATGGTGTTTACATGTTGGAATGGTAGGTAGGAGGCTAGAGAGACAGACAAAAATATTGAACAAGTTATTTATTCATTCATTTATTCATTCAATCATTAATCAGTTTCTTCTGAAAATACCATACTATTCCCATTAGATGAAAATTTCTATAATCCTGTAGACATGTCTCTGAGTATACATAGCTTTGATATAGCATACAGAACACTGGTTCAGTGCAAATTCTATTTTATTATTATTATTAAAGTAGGACATGTTTCTGATCCAAATTCAATGCTAACTTGAGATAGTATGATATAGATGTGCCTTTTATTTATAAAAACCTCATATAAAATACCCAACAATATCATTGATTAATTGAATTGGATTTCCTAAAGGCACATAAGCCATATGACATGACATATTTATATATTTATTTAAATATATCTATTTAAATATAAAATAGAAGACATTGATCTTATTGTACAATGAAAATTTAGAAGTGTTAATTACTGGTGTGATTGTATTTATTCAATTTTCTTTAACAAATTCTCCAATGGTACTTAATATGACATGTGTGTGTGTGTGTATACATGCACACATATATACATACATTTGTATATGTATATATGAACAAATATGACTTGATACACATACACGTGTATATTATATGCATTATATACTATAGTACATAGTTTATAGTATTATAGTATATATAGTATACATAATATATATTATATATGTGTACGTCCATAATTTTGGAGCACAGTAAGGCAAGGTGGTCTAGTGAATTAAAAGTTGTTGTGATAAATTTTGAGAATAATTATAAAGAATTCTGCTAACAAGTATTTTTTAACCTAAATTTCCTCATGGTTCATAAAAATGGTTGTATACATAAAAACTCAGTAAAAGTTGCTGTTATCAGAAAATGCATTTTGTTACTAATCTCTCTCCTGACCTCATTTGATTTTTTTTCCTACTCATTTTGGCCATATCCTAATAGCCCCATCTATTGTATATTTTACTTTTTTTTTTCTTTATTGAGCTATAACTGACAAAATTGTACTATATTTAAAGTTACTGTACTCTTATTGGTTCTCGTTCTTCCATGGGTTTAGCGGAATCTTTTCTAACTCCTTTTTGGAACAAGTCAGGAAATGCTTTGCTAATTACTGATACTCATAGCAGCAAAATGAGAACTGAAGGTCTTGCTTTAAAATTAAAAACTTGAATCTTAAAAGAAAAAGTCAAAAGGGGGCTTCCCTGGTGGCACAGTGGTTGAGAGTCCGCCTGCCGATGCAGGGACACGGGTTCGTGCCCCGGTCCGGGAAGATCCCACATGCCGCGGAGCGGCTGTGCCCGTGAGCCATGGCCGCTGAGCCTGCGCGTCCGGAGCCTGTGCTCTGCAATGGGAGAGGCTACGACAGTGAGAGGCCCGCGTACCGCACACACACAAAAAGAAGTCAAAAGGATTCAATGCATTGCATTCTTTTAAAATGAACCCAAGTACTCCATCCATGATAATGTCCTCTTAATTCAAATATTTGATTATGCATCACATTCCTTAACTAAGCCAGATGATGGAGCCAGGTATCTTTTGTTTCTTACAGAAGACAGTACTATGAACATACAGCTTACATTGAAAATACGTTTGCAGCATTTTTATCTCTTTTCTCTTAATTTGCAGTAAAGCACAGCAGTAGCCACATTTCTGAACACTTACTTTTAGTATGTGCTTCATGAAAACCACTAGGATAGTCAGTTTTCTGCATGTATTTTCACTGTTTGCATGTATTTTCACTGGGTCCTTATAAGCCATTAAGATTGGTAATTGACCCTACTTTACAGATGAGAAGACTGAAACCAGAAGGCTAAGCAACTTGTTGAAAATCAAATATAATAAGTAAATGGCAGAGTCATAGCATAGCTCAAACTCAGGTTGTCTAGACTCTGCTTATGGCTCCATCTGCTTTTCCATGCTTCTCACATTTCATCTTTAGCTTTGCCTTAATGGGAGATAGACTACTTAACTGTAACTGACAAAACTCAGATTATACAGAGATGAGAGTTCACAAAGGAACTTTATGAACTTGTAATAATGTCTCCCCCTGCCTTACATGATTGATCCAAATTATAAATTTTACTAGGTTATATCAGTATAACCTAGTAAAGGGATAGTTGGCAGACATACAATAAGATCTTTGCTCTGTTCATCAAATGTTTGTCACGTTGAGTCAGTAATGTGTTCTAACTATAAGTGATGAAATCTACTTAGTTGTACTCTTACATGCACTGTGTGCCTTCTTGGGATAGGTTTTCTGGTGTGGTTGAAGATGACTTGAAGGACACGAAAACCTCAATCCGTGATGTGCAAGCCACCTTGTTGAACCTGTTCAGCGCTGACACTGTACTAATTGGACATAGCTTTGAATGTAGTCTCTATGCACTTAAGGTAAAGAGTTAGAGGCTCATATTCTTATAAAACTGTATGTGTTAATGTGGTAGTCATTATCATTGTGTTATCACTGACGCTTGATTTGCCCTTTTAGACAAAACAAGATAAGAATCACTATGCTGATGACTTTGTCCAACTCTTACAAACCAGAAGCAGTATAAGATGCCCAAGTCATTTGGCTAAACAAGATCAGAACGAAAGTCCATTATCAATTGTGATGAAACCAAAATCGTTCTTTTGACATGGTCTTAGATCATTGTCTTTAATATTCAAGCGGGTAAAACTACGTTTATCTAATAGGTTATTATAGTCACGTCCTGGAAGATACTTTTTCATATTAAGTCAGGCAGACTTATAAAGCCTACCTGTAAGGTAGGCTCAAAATCAAATGGCATGTTCATTTTTCTTGGCATGATAGACTTGAAAATCTCCCCCTTAGTACTCCAGGTTACAATGGTCTGTTCTTTGCTCCATGTTCTAGAACAGCTGTCAGCACACTATGGTCCATGTTAGCCACCTGTTTCTGCAAATATTTCTATTGGAACAGAGCCACCACACCCACTCGTGGATGTATTTTCTATCGCTGCTTTCATACTACAGTGGCATTGTTGAGTAGTTATAACAGAAGTGGTGCGGCCTGCAAGCCTAAACTATTTATAACTCGGAAGAGACAGTTTGGTGGCCACCCCCGATCTAGAACAGTGCTCTGCAACAGAACTCTCCGTCGTACGTGTTCACTAACCAATATGGTAGACACTAGCCACATGTGGCCAGTGAGCACTTAAAATGTGTCTAATGTGACCGAGAAAACGATTTTTTCATTTTGTTTACTTAATTTCCATAGTTACGTGTGGCTGGTGGCTACCACATTGCACAGTGCAACTCTAGAACTTCGGGGACCTTGACTATTTGTTTCAGCCACCCCTAGGACTTACCTTCATGCCGAGAAGGGCTAGTTCTTCTTTAGTGTGAGAATGTAAGTAAGGCCATTTAATTTTCCTGAGTATCCACCTCTTTCCCTGCAAAGCTGGTACCATAGTATAGATAGTTGTTTCACACAGCACTGTTGTCTCTGCATGCGACAGATGAGACTGGAATGTGCTTCCACCAGACCCCACCCAAGTGTGAGCAAAGAGAGTTGGGGACGTAAGCTTCCTGTAAGAAAGCTCTTCACAGGGATGGCCTTCTGTCCCCTCAGCGACAGCTTGTCTCAGACTCAGTTTCTCACCATGACTTTCCTGTCTCTCATTTTCCAGGAACCGTTCTATTTCACTTGTCTCCCAGACCAGAAAATTTGAAACCACTGTTTTTTATTCGTTGTAATCAGTCTGTTTCTTTCACCCAGATTACTCGTAGATTTCTCTATTTTTCTCTATTTCCGCCCCCCCCCCCCCCTCCTCTTATGTGCTCAGTATTCTGCAGCCAGGAACCAGTGTCCAGGAGGTGGCCGGCACATTAAAAGTGAGAATTTAAAGCGTTTATGGATGGGGTGTAGTAGGTGCTAAACATTAATCTTCCAACCCCTTTCTTCTTCTTCTTTTTTTTAATAAGTTTATTTTTTATTCATTTATTTAATTTTTGGCTGCACTGGGTCTTCGTTGCTGCGCACGGGCTTTCTCTAGTTGCTGAGAGTGGGGGCTACTCTTCGTTGCAATGCGTGGCCTTCTCATTGCGGTGGCTTCTCTTGTTGCGGAGCATGGGCTCTAGGTGCGCAGGCTTCAGTAGTTGTGGCATGTGGGCTCAGTAGTTGTGGCTTGCGGGCTCCAGAGCACAGGCTCAGTAGTTGTGGCGCACAGGCCCAGTTGCTCGGTGGCATGTGGGATCTTCCCGGACCAGGGCTTGAACCCGTGTCCCCTGCACTGGCAGGCAGACTCCCAACCAGTGCACCACCAGGGAAGCCCCAACCCCTCTCTTCATCAGTCTTTAAATTACTCCTGTCCTGAGGCTAATCTTCTTCAACGCTTTTTCAAAGTACAGCTCTTCTAACAAGGAATCCAAACTGGTACCTGACAGGCTAGGCTCTCAGTTATCTGACCCCTCTCTTATTGTATCGCTATTTCCTACTTTATTAAATATCAGGAAAAATTTATTCACCTTCTTCCATGTGTAAGCAGAGGGGATTTGGACCTAGATGGGACTAATCCTTGTCCATGCTCCCTCCCCAGGGACAGACAAACCACTGAAATGGGACTTGCACTAGAGTGAGGTGTGCCCGCACCTCCGCTTAGTCACAATGTGGGAGGAGCCTGGCTCACCCTTTACCGCCCCTCACCCCGCCAGTAATTATTGGAACCGCTCTGAGCTCATGCTGCCCCCTGGTGGTGCTCTCTTGGTAGGAACGTGGACTTGGAAGTCAGGCTGCTGAAATTGGATTTCCTTCTACCCTGCTGACTCAGCTTAGGCAACTTTCTTAACCTCTCGAAGCCTCAGTTTCCTTGGCTGTAAAAAGGGACAATAACATACCTACCTTGCTAGGTTACTCTGCAGGTTGTAGTGAAATAATCCAAGTTAAGTGCCTAGTGACTGGCCTGTTGTAACTGCTCATGTCACTTGCTTTTGTAGCATAGTTACTACTGCTACAGTTACTGTTGCTGCCATCAGCAGTTTCCTTATTCCTTGGGAAGAACGTCTAAAGAGTTTCCCTCTTTCATTTCACAGTTAATTCATACTTCAGTTGTGGACACGACAGTTATGTTTCCTCATCGGCTAGGCTTGCTTCACAAAAGATCCCTTAAAAGTCTAGTGGCCGACTACCTGCGGAGAATCATTCAGGATGATGGTAAGAGCCTGCTTGTTCATGATAAAAATCGGGATCCTAAGTCTGACTTGAGTAAATCAGGAGGTTCATGGTAAAGGTCTACTGTTTGAAATGCTGCCCTGTGGGTTCTCTTCTTGGGTAGAGAATCCTAAAGCTTCTGCTTAAGTAAAAAGTGTTCCATGCTCACTGCCTGGTATGGTCCTAGATGTTCCACAGGCATCAAAACAGCAATTAAACTGAGACTGGTGACCACATCATGGTTCAGCAAGTTGCCTGACCTTGGAATTCATGCATAAAACTTTTGTTGGGGCTTCCCTGGTGGCGCAGTGGTTGAGAGTCCGCCTGCCAATGCAGGGGACACGGGTTCGTGCCCCAGTCCGGGAAAGTCCCACATGGCACGAAACGGCTGGGCCCGTGAGCCATGGCCACTGAGTCTGCGCGTCCGGAGCCTGTGCTCCGCAACAGGAGAGGCCACAACAGTGAGAGGCCTGCGTACCACAAAAAAAAAACTTTTGTTGGTGTAGAGGTCTAATTCCATTCTAAATTTTTCTCTGTACCTCCTTTCATATGTGATTTTCGTTAAGCCTAAAGAGATTCTAAAATTGATTGGGTCCAAGTTATCTCACCCAGGGTAAATAGTGTGCGTCGCGTAAGAAGTATAGCTCAAATTCAATAGATTCATGCGTGCACTTGCTCTGTAGTGGATTGGTACAGAGGTTTTGCTCTCAGAACTTTTTTCCTTTCTGGTTTTTCTGATGAAAAATACCCAACATTAAACAAGTTAATCAAATACAACAAGTACAGCCACCAACTATCCTGTTAGTGGCATTGTGATATGCACGAGATACGTGTCTGGCTTGGAATAGAGGTTAGTTACTCTGTACATTTCATGTATACCCATATAGGCCCCACTTTTGCACAAGAGGGAGAAGGAAGTTAATTTTGAGTATGTTAAAATTATGTTATAATGCTGTATGTTTCTACAGGTGCTCAGCTGATCATGTCATTTATTGTACAAAATACAGATTTTACTTTATGGTCTTTACTCTTTCATTCTCTGTCTATTAGACACTAACCAATACCATCTTGCAGAGAATCTTTAATTTACATTATCTGCTTTGTTAAAAATATTCATATCTCAAATTCCCAGAAAATGCTCTTATAAAATTTGTAATGTATTCTACTGAAAACAATCTGGAACCATGGACACAAAAATATTTCACCTAACAACAAAAAATACCCTATGTAAAACAAAATCTTCGAAAAGTTATACCACAGTTCTCTCAGAATAACACAAATAAACAATAATATACCATTTTAGAAGTGTGGTCCATATGATTTTTGTCATTTAATCTCGGACGTCATTTATTATTTTCACCAGAACTGTAGGCTTGATATTTTGGGTAGATTTCATCTACTTTTTTTTTTTTTTTGCAGTACGCGGGCCTCTCACTGTTGTGGCCTCTCCCGTTGCGGAGCACAGGCTCTGGACGCGCAGGCCCAGCGGCCATGGCTCACAGGCCCAGCTGCTCCGCGGCATGTGGGATCTTCCTGGACCGGGGCATGAACCCGTGACCCCTGCATCGGCAGGCGGACTCTCAACCACTGTGCCACCAGGGAAGTCCCATCTACTTTTTAAAACCATGTCATTTTGTATCTAAGGTCACTCTTTGTCTAGAGAGGTGTACTTTTTCTCGCATCCCTTATTTCTGGCTTCTTGTCAGATCTCTGTCGTTCAGTGGTACCTGTCACTTTGTTGGTGTATCTCCCTGGAAACGAGGTTCATGGAGAAGGTACTGATGTGCTATCCAGTCATAGCAATGTAGTGACCACATGACTGAGGACAGGTTACATAGAAAAAGGGAGATGCTTGTTCATCTGGATTTATGTAAAACATTTCTAAAGCAACCAGTAGGGGTTGTTCTAGGTATGAAATAATGAAATATTGATAAGTGGCCAGTGGTAATTTTGTTTCAAACTCAAAGACTTCGTTTTGAGACCATCCGTGGGTAACATCACAGAGTTGTCTACGTCTAATGTGCTATTTTATATTCTATACTGTTTGGAGGTCACAATTCAAGTGAAAATGCAACCACCTGCATGGAAGTCTGGAAGGTAAAAGACGACCTGAAAGGAAAGAAGTAACCACTTTGCCCAAGGATATCTTAAACCTCTGCATTGCTTCCGTGACTACTTGGCCTCCACTGCTGGCAGTAGAGTTTGGTCTATAATAACATGAGGTTTCTCCACACTTTCAAAGAGAAGAGGAGAAGGAAAAGCACTGTTGAGGTCTACTTATTACATTTTAAAGGTTAAATTTCCACAGTGATTTCTAAAGTTGTGACCGGGGAAGAGCGGGGGAAGGAATTAGGTTTTTTGGAATTTGACTCATCTTCATAGGCAATGTACAAATAACAGCGGAAGATGGTTTGAAGTTGAAGTAATGGGTCCAGGACTTTCACAAAGGTCGTTTCTCAGGTTACTTAAATTCCTTTTTCTCTCTGAATACTTAGAACCATTATACTGCTTGGAGATAGAAACATCTTTACCTAACAAAATTGTAAGTCTTCTTTAGATCATCTATATAGAAATAGAAGTGGAGATTTTCCTCACAAAATCTATGGAAGTAAATGTAAACTTTTCAGTGTACTATTAACATAAAAGTTCTGGTCATTTGGCTATTGTGTAATGTGTTTTTAATCTAACTAGTGTATTCTTACTTGATTTTGATATCAACAACTCACTGACTTTTTTTTTTTTTTTTAAGGCAGTGTCCTATGGCTACTCTAAACACACTGAAATCTAATCGATATACCCAGTACTGGAATTGTCTAATTTCTTTTAAGGCGTTGGTTCTTTCCTTCTTAATTGCTTTATGATAATGTGGAAACTGGCCCATGGAAATGACATGACTTTATTCAGTTTGACTACTGACCTCTGAGTAAGTATGAATCTTTAATATTAATGCCGCTAACATGCTACAAAGCTACAAAGGTTTCTCTGCCAAGGGTAGGGATGAGACCCAGAGCTGTCAATCGTATGGTCTCTGTGCCAGGAGTAAATTCAAGTTGATGGTGATGATGCGCCCTTGGTAAGAACACCTCAGGTTTGCTGCTCTGGTACTTTGAATTTACAAGTAAATCTTAAGTATCACTGAATTCCTTTCTCTTTTTTCTTTTTAATTAATTATCTACTTTTGGCTGCATTGGGTCTTTGTTGCTGTGTGTGGGTTTTCTTTAGTTGCAGCGAGCGGGGGCTACTCTTCGTTGTTTGCGGTGTGCGGGCTTCTCATTGCGGTGGCTTCTCTTGTTGCAGAGCACGGGCTCTAGGCACGCAGGCTTCAGTAGTTGTCACGCATGGGCTTAGTTGCTCCACAGCATGTGGGATCTTCCCAGACCAGGGCTCGAACCTGTGTCGCCTGCATTGGCAGGCATGTTCTTATCCACTGTGCCACCAGGGAAGTCCAGTTCCTTTTTCTTGATACCGTAAGTACTTCCTTAGTCATCTCTTACACCTGACGTGAAGTAAATTTGTAATGATGTAAATTTAAAGTATTTTAAATATATGTAATCAAGAAGGTCAGGCTGTTATAGAAAAAGCAGCTGTTATTGTGTATTCCAAAGCCACACGCAAAATTTGAAGACATTATCTACATTTTTCAGATCCTTGTTCTTGTTCAGTTCCATGTACATGCAAACCAAGAGCTGTCAGGAGTATCTCAACATTTGGGTAAAAAGCAAAAAGGAACTATTTATATATATATGTATATATGTATACATATATATGTATATAGATACATATATATGTATATATAAATAGTGTATGTATATATATATATATATATAAATAGTGTATATATATATATTTGGATGTACTTTCAATGGCTCTTCATTTGATCCCCTACTTAGTTGATGAAATAAATGCTGCGAGAGCAGTCTTGCTTTTTTTGTGTCTCCACTGCATATGCTGTTGTGGATGAAGAGCGTTTGGGACAAATACAGTTTCCTGGTCATTGTTTCTGATGCATAAAAGTTGAGCAGATGGCAGGAATATGGAACATTATGCCGTATGGTGAACTATTAACATTGCAGCACAATTAAAAGGGATTCTAGTTCTAAGCCCTCAGTTCACATTGGAATACTACCAGAGGTGCAAGAAAACAGATTAGACAGTAGGATACTTCTGGAAGACGTTTCTAGTCTTGTGAGCTTGAGATATGTCTGGTGGCATATACCCACCAACTGCTCTCTGCAGATTACCAACAAGGGAGAGGATGATAATTTAAGGTGTTTAAGGTGTTTTTCTCAAAAGTATAATACAGACGTTTGGCAATACCTATGAGACACATTCCTGGACAAAATGGGTAGGCAAGACATTTATTCACTTACTATATGATCTCAGTGTAGCATGTGCCTACAGTATAAACGGTAAACTCACAAATGATCAAAACTAAAACTTTTTACAATGTGCAATACAGGTAGGGATGTTAATCTGGTATGATGTCACATGTCTCCCAAATATAACTAACTCCAAGCTTCCTATTTTAATTTCTTAATAAACAAACACATCAATGTTATCAAAGAAACTAAAACTAAATCCTATTAATTTATCAAACTTATACTTCTCTCAAAGTTCTTAGGCTTCTAAGGAACGAGATTTAAATCTGTTTTTCAGTGTTAGCATTCTGGACTGACTTGTGGGCTCTGGAAACACCTGACAAAGTTGTCAAATTATGGAATGAAATTGGGGTGGCTTCTACAGGTGAGGGGGAAAATTTAGAGATAGAAGAAGCTCTTTTATATCGCTTAGGTACAGACTTAAATCCATGTCCTGTAAGAACTCATACATTTCCCCTGCTTTTCTCACCTGTGCTATCAGGGTCAGGTTTACAATATTTTCTTCTACACAGCAAAACATAACATCCAATATATAGGTAAATATCAAAAATATCTGGGACAATGAGTTATGCACTACAGTAATTGTACTCTCACACCTTCCTGTAAAGTCCATGTTTTTAGAAAAATATATTATTGCATATGAAACCACAAACAGGCATTCTGATTCCAGCACATTCTTACTCAAAACAGTATATACAGTCCTAAAAGAGGGTACTATAGATTCACACACAGGGGTCTTACGGTGAATGTCCCAGACAGACAGCAATCTATATACACGTCCATATTCCATGTCACCTCTCTTGACAGAGGCTTGCTTGCTTGGCATCAAAGTCTCAAGGGTCTCTCATGCCGGTGAAGCGGAAACAGAATATACAGCTGAAGACGGTCTGTCCTAGGCTGCTTCTTCGGCAGAACAGTCGATTCCCGCGTAGGTAAACTTCTCATAAAGCGTGGTATTCACATAGGTCTAGAAGAACAAGAGTGGTTCAGAGACAAACTGGCTCAGTCCTGCCTCCGCCAGGGGCAGTTACAGTAATATCCCGTTTCCTTAGCTTGTTTCAACTCAAATGCAGATACTTGGGGGGTAGTTTTCTATCCTCATTCCCTCTGTTGTGTTTAACAACTTTCTTCCCGAAAAGCATCCCTTGACTTCTGCAAGTAAGATTGCTTCCTCTCACTTGTTTCAGTCTCCGGCTTCGTCCCTCCTGACATGCCCCACATCCTCTAAGGCCCCTTTCTCTGTCTGCTTCTCATCTCCTGCTGTGTGACCTCACCCACATCTTTGGTTTAATTACCAACTGGGTTTTGATGACGTTCAACATCTACTTCCCTAACCTAGATTTGTCTTTCGAACCTCAGATCTGTATAGTCAACTACTTTCTAGAAATTATGATAGAATTCCTGACCCTCCCCATAGTAACCTGTAGACCACTCTCTGTTGTCTACCTGCTGTTTGTCCTTGGGCAAGTCACTTTTCACCCTTCTAAGTCTGTTTCTTCCTCTATAAAATTAAAGGGTCAGGCTGTATGACTCATGAGATTTAAGATTCCTTCGAGCTCGAATAAGCTAGTTCTATATGTTGTTCTACTGTGTGTGACTGTACCTTATATAGGAATCTTATTTCCTCCAAAATTGTAACTTCCTCAAAGTTGGGTCCACACCTTTTATGTCCCTATAGCACCTAGGGTCATGCTCAGGGGAACCTGTTGACTTGTATCAACTTTTTATTAACCACAATGGACACATGAGGAATTCTACTTAAAGAACCCCTGCTTTGATCTCCATACTCACCTTTCGTTCTTCTAACATCCTGTTTAAGGACACCAGGATCTGGGCAAATGAGGGCCTTTCATAAGGCTTCTCCCGCCAGCATTGTCTCATGAGATCATACCTTTGAAAACAGTGAAAGGGTTAAGTCTACAGCTGTGCTTCAGGCCTGGGCACAGCCTGGTGTAGGGTATTGCAAAAAAGAGAATGTAGCCACCGAACGCATGGTCATCATGCTTAGCCAGTAAAAGACAAAAGTACGGCACCTAGGAAGGTTCTGTTAGGCCTCCCATCTCCCCATCCAAGTCCCCTTTCTTCTCCCAGTAGATCTAGTGCCTGCTTTAGGTACCATTACCACAGGATCTTGGTCTCAGCTATTCTGAGTATCTGGAAAGAACTGAGTTACATGTCTAGGGCAGCATGTCCCGTGGAATACCACACCTCTCAAAATGTCAGTGTTTTATTTTTTTTAAATGGCCCCGTGCTCAAATAAATTTGCAAAATGCCACCCATCGCATCTTCCTCTTAGGGATCGACCCAGGAAAATCGTGAGAAGTCATTCCATTAAAAACAAACAACCTTTTTAGCCAGGTTTAACCTAGAAGCTTCCCAGACATAACTGATCACAGAACTCTTGTGTCATTTACGTCTCACACTTTCCACATAGTTTAGGGAGTGCTGGTCTAAGTCAGCACTTTCTCAAATGTGGCCAGAACTACTTGTACTGTTAAAATGCAGATTCCTGGGACCCACCCTAGATGTACAGAATCATGTCTGGCAATGGGGCTCAAGATTTCACATGCTGACCAAGTGACTCAGGGGAACTGTAGTGCACAGAGCGCTCTCAGCCATCAGCCTGGGGTGTTAGAGATTCTATCAATAGAACAGTTTGTACTTTAACCGAAGTTTCATAAGGGCTGAAAATATCCCTCCTTATGGAATGAATCTCAAAAGGTGGAATTTTAGGGACTTTGTCCGGTGATGGTTCAAGTGTATCCAGGTTTTCCCAGGATGGTCTAGTTTTATATCTCTTGTACCATAACAATAAAAACACCCTGTTTCACTCTTAGAAGTGGCTTGGTTTGGATGATAAATTACTTGCTCAGCCTAGACCCTTGCACTCTTCAAATCATGCCAGTTAGGCAGCAACTACATTGCTTAATTCTGGGAATGGCAACATCACTAAAGATAATCATTATTCCCCTGAGAAGAATACTTATTCCTGGAAAATAATCCTCATAGAAGTAAGATTTTATGAAGAAAAATCTGTCTTCCTTAATATAACAGCTCTGAAATCTCTGTCCCCAAAGTTAGCCTCAAGGTTTCATACATTTATTCGTGGATAATTTCATGAATTTATTTCAGATCTTTTCTGACTTTGTTGCCCTTTCTCATTTCAACCTTAAGATTCAACCAAGAATCATCACCTTAAATTCCTCCTGGATTTCTATGCCTAGAAAGCTGTTATTCCCTGCCCATTGCATCACAGTCTTAATTTCAAGAACCCCCTTGTTTCTGACTATCTGGGGTGTGCGTGTGTGTGCGCGTGTGTGTACATATAGATAAACATATGTGTATGTATCAGATAGCTCCTTCATTAGAGTCAGTCCAAGAAAGGTACAGGGGGAAAGTTAGGATAAAATGGCCCCGGGTGAGGCCTGACTTACACCTCATCATCACAGTTTAGGGGCTTCTCCAATCTGTAGCCCTGGGGCAGCTTCTCGTAGAGTTCTGCACACGTCATCCCACAGTAAGGGGTGCCACCTGGAAGACAGGAAACGGTGCGCCCTAAGCCCCCTCGGATGCAGAAGGCAGCATCTCCTGCCCTGAGGCTATACAGCCAAGGGGCTGGGAGAAAGACGGGGTGTGTCAAGCAATGCTGAGCGCCCGGTGTGATCTTCCTCCAGAGCAAGCCTACCGCACGTCACAGCTGGACTTCGGCTACAGACCGTGCTCCCGTGCGGCGTCTCCTTAGTGCAGAGGATCCACCACAGTCTCCTTCCTTCCCGTGCTATTCCTCTTCCCCAAGCCTGTCTACACACAGCACGTCTACTGTACCAATGACATGGATCTTTTTCCTAATTGGAAGTCTGTATTTATGTTATGCAATTCCTATTTTATCTATCAATGTTAATTAGAAAAGCAATACATGTTTATTGTGGAAAATACAAAAACTAATGCAGAAAAAAAACTACATTTTTTAAATCCTGTGTAGTCCTCCCAGTTTTTTTCATGTGTAATATTTATAAAATGGATTATGGGAATTTCTTCTGGTTTTTGGCATGCACATTTTCACATGGTATTAAATGGCCTTAGAAAATGTCTTTTCATAATATACTGTCTTCAAGTTATAGAAGTAAACTTATGACAGCTCTGTGACATCTGTGCACAAGCAGAGACAACTCAGAATGAAGTTCTTGACCATCAGGTTATTAGTATTAAATATGACATTAGACACAGGGCTTTCATAAAGAGAACCACGGGGATAAACACACTCAAACATGGAAACCCGTAAGGTTCTTTTCCCAAGTGGCCTCTGTTGGCACCGAGTACACGTCATCCATGAAAGTATATGGTAAAGGAGTCCGGGAGGGGCCCACT